AAGCTTTCGAGGAACAAGTTAAGCGAGAAAAAGACATCGCTCGTCAAAAAGAAGATTTAGAAGAATTACGTCGTCAGTATCGAAGTCGTTTATTTGATGAAGAGGACCTTCAAGATTTGAAAGAGTCGGAGTTCAAAGGACCGGAAACGAGAAAAATTTCCGCAAACGATTTGGCAGAAAGTCGTTCAACGTCATCGCTTGGCAAGGATATGTGGAATCAACTTAAGCGTGTTTCAATTCCCGTATTCAGTGGTGATAAAAAATTGTACGAGGGTTGGAAAACGGCTCTCATGGCATGTGTGGACAAGGCGCCCGCCACACCAGAGTACAAATTGCTCCAGTTGCGTCAATACTTATCTGGCGAAGCATTAAAGGTCGTGGAACCTTTGGGACACTCTGCAGCAGCTTATGAGACAGCAAAGGAAAGATTGGAACGAAAGTTTGGTGGCAAACGGCATCAGATTGCCTTGCATTTAGAAGAACTGGAGAACTTTAAGCCACTTTGCCCTGGAAATGCAAGGGACCTTGAGAGACTTGCAGATTTGTTAGACATTACTGTAGTAAACCTGAAGGAGGCTGGTCGGCATGAAGAACTAGGAAGCGGATCACTGTACCTCAGTTTGTGCAAGAAATTGACAGAAGCAATGCTAGCGCATTATCATTGGTGGATTCATGAAAATGGTCGTTGGCAGTCAGTGGAAATGTTGAGAGAGTTCTTCATCCAGGAAGCAGAATTCCAGAGAGTAGCATCGGAAACAATTCACGGTTTGAGTAAAAGAGGACATAAGAGAGACAGTGGGGTTACCTTCTTCGGTAACACGCAGAATTCGTCAGGGAATCATAGAAGAGTTGGATTTCGACCGTGTAAAGTTTGCAGTGGTCATCATGGAGTTTGGCGCTGTGACAGGTTCAAGGCTATGAATCTTCCAGAGAGATGGGAAGCCGCCAAGAACCTTAAACTGTGTTATCGTTGCTTAGGAGATCACAGTGGAGGAACGTGCGTTAGATCAAGAGTTTGTGGGATAAATAATTGTAAGAACACTCACAACCGATTGTTGCATAGAGACTGTGCCGGCAGATCGAAGTGAACAGGTGAACTCTCATGATCGTCGTGAAGTGAAACAAGGATCTTTAGGTGGTTCCCAGGCTCTCGCGGAAACCAAAACAATTACTCCTCCTCTTACTCCTCCTCAGGATCCAGTTGAGCAAGTAACAGAGAGGTCTCACACCACAGTGATGTCCCAAAGTGCGCAACCAAGATTTGTGGCACTACGCACAGTACCAGTGTTTCTGAAGAACGGTAATCACAGAATTAAAGTGAATGCGTTGTTGGACAAAGCTTCAATGAAAACGTATTTAAATGCTGACGTAGCCGCTGAGCTTGGACTTCAAGGACATCCTCAAAGTGTAACTGTGAATGTTCTAAATGGACAGACTGAGACCTTCGAGACTACGCCAGTTGAGGTCGAGTTGGAGAGTTTAGATGGAAAAGTGAAGACTACCATAAGTGCATTCACAGCAGAACAAGTCACAGGAAACATGAAAGTTATCGATTGGGAAAAGTATGCGGCAAAGTGCACCCATTTGAGAGGGATACAGTTTCCAAATCCTGGCATCCGCCCAATAGTGGACTTGTTAATTGGAGTTGATTATGCTGAACTACACTACTCGTTCAAGGATGTTCGAGGTCAGCCCGGGGAACCAGTAGCAAGACTTACGCCATTAGGATGGACATGTACAGGAACGGTTAGTGGGCTCAAAGGAGG